CAATTGCTTTTCTTCGGTCCGATGCCCAGAAAGGAATTGTTGATCTGACTGTTATCGCTTTTCCAATGCCCGGCTGCAACCAGTTGCCACGTCGTACTCAGGAATATCTGCTTGCCTGCTGCAAAGCATGTAACGCCGCCTATGGTAGGGCAGGGTACGATTCTAATTGGATGGAGCTCTGTCTAGCTGCCTAAGAGCTAGTGATTACAGAGGTGACTTCGGGGGTATGATGTGGTAAAAGTTGTGCAAGTGCACGGAGAAGGGTTCCAGGGGTCCGGGTCTTGATGCGGTAGAATTTGGTAGGGTTAGGATTTAAGGTGAGAGTCGGATGTGCGTATAGGGTGGATTGTCGTGTGGAGATGGATGATGGTTGGTGTGGGAGTGACGAGGATCATCGTAGGGCAGTTGGTGGAGACTCGAGCTAATGTCAGCAACTAACAATCCAACTGGACTGAGCTATGACAACGCTGAGGAGACAGACGAGAGGAATGTGAGTGAGGAAAGACCAGCTCGAGTCTGGCTTGTTATTGAGCAGTACGAGCTCCTTTTATACATGCCAGACTGAATATCTAGAATATCCTACGAATATACAGAGGTGTATAGAAAGTGAAAGAATACTATGGAACCCGGGAGAACCATCCGGGATATGTAATATTCATGACACTGCCACCGCCTTGCGACCTCGACCAGCTTCCGGAATTTCAGTGCGTTGTCACAAGCCATAACCAGTAAGCCGGCTGCTTCCTATGGTCTCTGTGCTTGCGTCTTACGGGACAGCCCGGCGTTCGTACAGCTATGACCACATAGACTGGCCCACAACAGAACAGATATATAAGATGAAGCGTTCGCATGTCGCTTTCGTCGCACCTCTCGGAATGGGATCGCGGTTCCGCAGCGGCGGCATACCGGCAGAACGGACGTCCTCGCTCAGTCGGCAACAAGGCACCCTGGCGGAACTGGGAAGAAAACCGTCTTATTCAATGGTTGAAGCAACAATACATTAAAGCTTTGACAGTCACTCTCGCGGACAGCTTCACGCGATGGAAAATGAAATGTGTGTTATATAATGCTCTGAAGCAAGCACCGGGCTATACATAGATTGTACTAGAGGAGGCCAAAGCAACGGGTGGCATATCGTGGTTCAAATGGTCAAAGATGTTCAGCACGCAAGCTTGAGTTTACGAGGCTCTCCGTGCTTATCCCAACAACCTTTCACTCTCCTCACCCTCATCTCTCGACTTAGTCCTCTTCCTGATCGGCGCAGCGACCTTATTCCACATGCTTTTCAGCCCCTCCGCACCCCTGCTCACGAGCCAGTTCCGCGCGCGCCACACAGCGTGAGGACGGTTGTCGATCTTGTCCGTACGAACGCGATGTTCGGCGTCGACGACGACGCTTAGAGCAAGCACAGTGGTCATGATTGAAGAGAGCGCCGTGCAGGACGAGATCATGAACATGATCACCATCTGAAGGCGTGCGGCCTGTTGGACACTCGACCCTCCAAGGATAGCACCGGTCATCATGCCCGGAATCGCGATGATACCGAGGACACTGATAAACCCGAGCATTAGAGTTCCGTCCTGGGCGCAGGGTTCATGTACGCACCTCATTTGGTTAACGTTAGGCGTCAAAGCGAGACGTAGGGCATCGGTTGCAATAGGCTTGCAAGCTTCAAACCGTGATGCACCGAATGCAAGGTAGGTCTCAATCTTGTCCTTGTTCTCGCTGAGATGGTCCAGTGTCGTATTAGCAGAAAGGGAAGACGTAGACTTACTAGAGCTCCTTTAGGACGTAGTTGCAGGCTACCACGATTCCTGAGATTGTGGCTCCGCACAGCATTCCGACGACAGGTACTTAATAGTGATATATACGTCAGTCATGTACTCGGACGGAATGCGGAGCGAACGCACTGTACTGCTCTGGCTTCCAGAATGGATCCACAGCCATGGCGTAGCGGATACCAATCATGGAGATGGGAATGGTGGAGCAAAGCATGCCAAAAAGCACTGAAGGGAACTAAACAAGTGTATGAGTATGAACGAAGAGTCTTGGGTTCTGAACAAACGCGCACCATGTGTTGAAACCTCCGCTTCGCCTTGTTCGCAACTATAGACAATGATCAGAGACATCTCAAAGGAGAAGGGCTTCAGCACGCACCAGTTTCAATCGTTCCCATTAGGTTCAGCAGGACTGCCAAGAACCGGTGTGAGATCAACAAATGTCCAAGCTAGTATGTCCAGATATTTACAAGCAATTCCGGCAACAGCCCATGGATTCTTCGCCTCAAAGACCTTCTGCAGCACGAGTGATACGAGCGTGAGCTGTACGACGCACCGCACAGCGGCAGTTACTAGAGACGTCCCGACCCCGAGCTGGAACACCCGCGACACGACCGCATTGAACGCGATGAAGCTGAACGCAAGACCGACGTTCTCCCATGTCAAGTCTGCAGTGTGCCCGTCGTCGCCTGGAGCGTCCATGTTTGAAGCAAATCGCACGAGGTGGATATAAGAGAGAGATGCACGCGTCCCATTCGGGAATTT